CTCATGGCGGTCGCCGAGTTCCTCGAGAACGTCGACCTCGAGGCGCTGGGGTTGGGGAACGGTGGGATTAGCGTCGCGGATCTCACGCCCATTCCGCTTGCGAGGAGTGCGAGCAACAGTCCGAAGACGCCGACGCTGGGGTTGTCGTTTGTAGAGGACGGGACGGGGTTGTTGAAGAGACAGGTCGATACGCTCGCGGGCGGGGCTGGGCGGGTGATTCACGGCATGTCCGGGGTGGTGGATTCGTCGTTTGGGATGCTTAGACAGTTTTTGCCGGGGACGAGTCCGCTGCCTGCGACGCCTGCGCTGGACGCCACGCAGGGGTCGGCGCCGTGGAATTTCCCACATGTGGCGCGGCCGGGGTTCGGGCTGTTGAGAAGGGAGACGGGGTTTTCCATTGGGGGGATCAGTATTGGGGGCCGCTCTGGGACCGATGAGAAGGAGAAGGAGCTGAGGGAGGTGTCGAGGCCGGGGAGTTTGCGCACGGAAGGGGGGTCGGATGAGGGTGGAGAGGATGATGATGATGATGATGATGACAGTTCGAGTGTCGAGCAGGAGGACGAGTTTTACTATGGGTTGGATAGTGGGGCGGGGTCGCATGACACGAGGAGTATACGGAGCTTTGAGAGTATGATGAGCCGGGAGCGAAGCAAAGGCCGCAAATTAAATCCAAAGCGGAAAAGCCTTTCAGATCGTCTGGCGCACGTTTCGGGGCTTGCGGGGTTCAAGGCAAGTTTCCAGCGCGTTTTTCTACTCACTTATATCTTATTAATCGATTGCAATTGCTTGCTTAGGGATCCCCGCCGCCCCCGCGACGCGAGTCTTTGCTTTCGAGTACGAATCGCTTTGACACACCCGTTTCTTCGCGGCCCAGTTCTCCCGCTGTTTTGGGATTGCGGCTTGCACCACCGAATCCGCGGTTTTTGGACTGTGCGCCTGACGATTTGCGGCTGGCGGAGGTGGCAGAGTTGTTGAAGGATTATCGAAGGCTCGTTGACGGTGTTAGAGCTGTTGGCGGTTTCATTGGGGATGAATAGATGTATATTATAAACTTTTCTAAGGGCTCTGGTAGTGTGGACGGATTCAAACCAGCACCAAGGAGGGGTGCTTTGGTCCTCTTCGGACATGTTGTCCGCGCTGTCGGCCGATTCACCCTTCTTTCTTTCTTTTCTTCACTCCACCTTCACACAAAACTGCGATATGGAGCTCTATCTTTGAGAAGCTTCTTTCGAACCAGTCCTTTCCGTTGGCAACTTGCGCCTTTTCCGAAAGACGACCATATCTTTTTCCTTCCAAAGGAATCAAATAAACCGCAATTCATCTTCGTCGTGTTTAAGTTCCGGGAAGTGGATAATAGAGTGCTATAGAGTGGAAGCTCCAACTTCAAGAGGCACCCAATGACCGGGGAACCGCAGCAGTACAGGCTCTTTTATAAGTCTTCTGTGCCCGAGATACCGAGGAAATGCTTTCGCGGTCGAGCCTCGCGACTTAGGTCTGGCACCATACGTACTCACTCTGCAGCGATACTATGAATACTCTGGAGGGCAGGCGCCCATCGTATAGATAAGTAGTCGACGAGAAACTACTCAAACTTCCGGTTCCTCTCCTGCCATCGTCCCGCGTCGACAAAACCGCAAAGTTGAACTCGAAGATGACCGGCGTTATTGCTGAGACGTTGTACAACTATCGTCCTGATGCCTTTCGACCGTCGTACACGGTCGCCAATCTTGGTGAGCATTGCGAGATTTGGTTATGGGTGTGGGGTTGAGCTCATCCATGCAGTTTCTTCCCGTCATGGTTTTGACGGCTCTGGCCATGCTGGAAATTCAACTGCTCGCCGTCAGATTGAAGATGAGGATGTTGAGCGCGAGCGTTCGTATTGGGAGCCAGTGTCAGCCTGCGCGAAGAATATTTATATCGGCTCATTCTTTGCAACTCAAGGCTTGGCTGTAAGACCGATTCATAGTCGTCGAGAGATAGGTGGCTATTCTTCTGCCATTTCAGCCCGTGATTGAGGTCTCATCGAATGCAGGACTCGACATACTACGTCGAACTTTTTCTATAGATCCCGCATCTGTTCTCACGAATCTACGTTGTCTTCCTGGGACGCGCCGAAAAGTCTTGGATGTTCTATTGGCATGGGCTTCAGAGGCGGTGGACACCACCTACAGCGTCGTCTGCTTGACGGGACCTTCTGGCGTTGGAAAGTCCGCTATATTGGGTAGCTTCACGCAGCAACTGCATGGCGCCGGAGAACTCTTAGCAGGTTTCGCATTTCGACCGCAGTGGTCTCCCAAGGAAAACGCTAACGCTTTATTTTGCTCTCTCGCCTATCGGCTTGCCCTTCACACACCACAACTCCGCGAGTCGATCTCGCGGGCAGTCAAGATGAGCCCTGGCATCGTTGGTAGATCTATGGAAGAACAGCTACAGGACTTGATCATTCGACCATACCTGGACCTCATGCGTCCGCGTCCTTTGACTTTGGTCATCGACGGATTCGATGGATTCGAAGACGACGTTCAGCGAAACATACTCAATTTGTTGGAGAACGCTGCTCGAACACAGTCGTTGAATCTGCGAGTTCTCCTGACGAGTAGATCCGAGGAAATTTTCTGGGACAGCTCGGTGCCCCTTGTGAAAGTCGAACGTTCACTCCACGATGTTCAATTTTATCTGTGGAGCGAGCTGTGTGGACCCCAATCGACCACCACAGAGTTTGTGGTTTCGCCACCGATCATGAATACCCTGGTCGAAGCTTCCTCTGGTTGCTTTCTGTATGCCTGCACCCTGGTCAAGTTTTTGACGGACCGAGATTTCGCTCCAGCGAAGCGCTTTGCTGCCATGACAAGCCTTCCAGTCGACCATCTCAATTCCCCTCTTGACAAACTGTACACCCAGATATTGTCCGCTGTCCCCTCCATCTTACGTTCTTCCTTACTCTCCTTACTCCACGTCCTGTGCACGGAACAGTTCGCTCGTCTTCCCATCTATTATCTGGCGCAACTCCTTCAAGTCAAGCGAGTGCACATTCGCTGCATTGCCCGGCATCTCCGCTCGGTTTTGAGCGTCTCATCGAAGAACGAGATCATCACACCTGATCGCTCTTCGTTCTTGGAGTTTCTAGCAGATCCAAGCAGATCGGGTCCTCTTTGCGTCGCCAGCCCCGACCATTCTATGAATCTCGCGCGGTGCATCCTCAAGTCCTTAGCATACACCCACCAGAGTCCTCACGCCAATCGAGTCGGCCATGTCGCCTGGTAAGTTTTCCCAAAATTCCGAGGTGTGTTCTCAAAAAGTGCAGGAAACACCTGAGCGTGATGGTGGACTACGTGACTTCAGTGCATCCTTCGATAGATTTATTGCCTTTCGTGAAGAAAATCAACCCAGACTTTTTCTTTGGATCTCTGCGTACTTTCGACAAACTGGGAGCGAAGATATTGGCGTGGCTGAATGTGAGTTGTTTTGCTCAATATCGCCCTTTCTTACGATGAGCAGAAAATGGAACTTCGGCCAATCGAAGAGATCCAGCGCTGGGAAGACTACTCGTACATGGCTTTTGTCCATTCAACAGTCAACGACTTCGATTTCGACGCAGAGCCCGACATGCCGATGGACGATTCCAAGGACAAGTGGAGCCTCCTGCAAAACCCAGAACTCATTCGCCTGTTGCGCTTCTCGATGGCTCTACCCGCATTGACACCGTTATTTCAGTTTCGTCTGTTGTTGGGCTACTCATGGGGTGAGCTGCGCAGCGTCATATGCGCACTTCGAGCGATATATGGGAGGGACGAAATGGCTTTGACTCGGTTGTGGAGCTGGCTACAAGATCCGAATTTTGCAAGAGAAATCTACCCTTGGCCTTCGGTGTTCCGCGCGTTGGCGCTGCAAAGTGTGCGTCTGGTAAAGGGTGTTCATGGTGGGGCGTTGCCGTCTCAGAGTCTCGGGTAAATATAACTTTATCACTGCTGGCTCCGTTAATTCATTACGGTTCATAGCTACTGGCTGGAATGGGGCCGCTACATCCGTTCCTCTCCGCCTTGCCCAGAGCTTCTTTGCGAAATTTCAAGCTTCATGCCGCGGGACGGCAGCGAATATGGGATTTCAACCGACAACGAGATATATGATGTTCTACGGTGGTTTGAGGTCTATCTCTATTTCGCTTGCATTGTTCATAGCTCATCATTTCTTCAGTCGTATCCGGACGTCCCGAGGAGTGAAAGATCGCGTTGGGCACGATACCTCCCCCGTGGCACTCGGTCCGAGAAACATGATGCGTTTGAAACGCGATGGAGGAGTTGGGTTGGGCTTGAGTGGTATGAGGTTTGATTGGGTGTGGATATCGGCTTTGAATCCGATGGTAGATGATGTATTCCGTCGGTACTGTAAGTAGGGTGTGGTCCAGGGTTGACTTGATGTTGAACCGAATTGGAACTTTGAGCATTTGTATATTACTGTACTATGCAGAAATGTTGTTAATAGACACTGAGACGTTATGGCGACTGTACACGAAAGAATGTCGTCTCGTCGATCGGCCAAAGATGAGAATTGGAAAGATCAGTTCAACTTCAAAAGGATGATGGTGATTTTGGAGGGGGCAAATATAATACCTGGTATGTACTTCAACGCAAAAGTACACATACAATATCACAGAGACTTGCATCCTTCACCAAATCCCCCCCCACCACGCACAATATTCATCGCCTCAGTCTTGCTAAGATCAACTCTGGTTCAACCATCACATAACAATTCCCACCGTTGAATTCCATCGTATTTTCGACTTTCTACTTGTATTCTGGTCCTCTCCGAGCCTCGGAGGACTTCTGGCTCATGCAGACTAGTAATACCATGGTCTAGCTCACCCTCCATGTCGCAATAAACCATAATAACATCAACTTCTCTTGCAATGATTCAAATTCCACCAAATTTGATTCAATCGGCTCACTCTTTGTTCTGAAATCAATTTAGCATGTGTAGGCCACTTCTACAAGGATAATAAATCCGGATTGGTGTAGGGGTTAACATTGCCGCCTCTCATGGAAACTTTCCCACGCAAAGGATAGTTCCAACATGAATCCGCGGCAGCCCGGGGTTCGATTCCCCGATCCGGAATCGTTTTGCCTCTGTTTCAGACCTTTTCGTCATCGTGTCGTTCGGTTTTGGATAGGATAGGATAGGATAGTTACCGGCGCAAGGTCCCGAGTCGGAACGGCCGGGGGTCCGTACTACATACACAAAGCGTCCTAATAATGTATGTTACGGATGTACTTAAACCTCCACCGTTACGAACAGCCCGTCCCAAATCTATTACTTTCCTGGTCTGGGGGCAATTACTGACCTCCCGCAAAAAATTGCCAATCCGCAGACAGAACGAGTAGTGCCAACCTGACCATAATCAGCCAGGAGTCAGGTACCAGTTCCCCAGCACCTCACATAAATCACAGTCGTCCAGAAAGTAGTAAATAAGATTGAACCGTCTCGCAGTTTCAATTCAAGTACACGATATAGTTACTGGGCTTATTCCTGCCAACCTTCTAGGTTGAAATGCTCTGGTGCCACCCACATCTCCTTCGTCTCGAAGATCTGCAGAACATCATGCACAAATTTAGCGACACGTGTAGTCACGATGCGGTCCAGAAGGAGGGAGCCGAGGAAAACGTTGGCAGACCGCGTCATCGCGAGATGGCGCAATGAAGGCTGAAGAACAAAAACATCGCGAAGGAATTCCTCCCTCAGAGGAGTCAAACCGGGGTGAGCTGTGCAAACCAAAGCGGCGTGAGACTCGTCCTCCACATCTAAAAGACAGAGGCGACATAATCTCCACGCCCGAGGAATATGATACTTCCTGTAATGTCCGGGATACCTCAGAGCCACCACCGCTAAGCTGTGATCCGACAGAAGAAAGCGAGTAAATGCTTTCCTGTGTGGGCTGCTGACAAGGCGGAGGTAGTGACGAAAGCACAACACCACATTCTTCAATTTCCCATCCTCGCCCCTTTCCTGTCGCTTCCGCAAAAGATATGTTCGCTCCGCTCTATTGAGCTGGTCCCGCAAGGTCGTTTCGCAGGACAGCTGGACGCCGGCAATCAAATTGTCAATCGATTCGGCAGACTCGAGCGCGGAAACGGGACAGGGAACAGGTGTAGGGAAAGACGCAAGCACTGTGCGTAGATCTGACGCCCACGAGATAGAGCCGGCAGCCGAAAGTTGTAGCGAAGAAAGATATGCGGCCTTCGCGTAGTGATCATCCGGCAGGGCCGCCCAGTGCTTTGTGGTGTAGTGCAAGAATGGCTCGGCGGTATCTAACAGGAAGCAGCCCAGTCTCTGTGAAAAGGACAGCCCGCATTGACCGTGGACGCAGTCCCAAGAGCCGTCGTAAGTATCGCTTTTGCGGCTTCTCGAGCAGTGCGGTCAGGCGCGAGGTTACATCAGGCACCACCTCGCAGCCCGAAATCAGATGAGGATCCACTCGCGCCATATAAAGTCGAACTCCCTCCTTCGGCGGCAGCGATCCTATCATCGAATCCACAGTGAAGCAAGCGTGAGCTACCCCTTGAGCTTTGGACGCCTTGACAGAGTAGTGTTTCTCAAAGATATTGCGCTTCACAGAGGTGAACCAGATGCCAACAAACTTGTACTCGCGGACCAGCTTGACAACGTTTCCGTTTACACGGATAGTGGACATGCGGCGGGGGAGGGGACCGAATATCATCCACTTCGTCTTGTCAACACTGATAACCATTGAGTTGGCATTGCACCAGGAAGCGAAAGCATCGAGCCGTCGCTGCAGGCCGGCAGCCGTGGTTGAGAAGATGGCGACATCATCCGCATGTTCGATGTGGGATATGGGCAAGTGGGATAGAACAACATCGTCGCCGTCGGGAGGAATCCATTTCGCCAAGTCGCCGAAGTAGATGTTCCATAAGCCGGGGGAAGCGGAATCCCCCGTGAGAACTCCGATGAGCGACTTGAATGCCTCCGAATACGCCCCACCATGCTTCACCATGTACAACATTCGCGCGTACACCATTCTCAACCAATCGAAGAGTGGTCCAGACACTCCATTCCGGTACAGCTTTGCCCACAACGTCGGTAAATCCGTGGATGGAAAGGCATTCTTCAGATCGACAAAAGCAACGTGCAGAGATTGTCCCTGAGCCCAAGCTTTCTCAATCGCGGCTCTCAGGATGAAGGGGTTGTTGTTGGTGCGGTAGGATTTCCGAAACCCGTTTTGTGAGTCTGGGATCAATTGCCGATAGTCGGCCCATTCTCGTAGACGTTTGTCGATGAGCAAAGTCAAGACTTTCAGCAGACAACACTCCAGACCCACGAGCCGATAACCGTCCGGGTTCGTCGCCACCTTCCCTTGCTTCAGAATCCCCACAAGAATTGTCGTCAGCCACATCCGCGGTGCGTCGCATGCATTAATACATGCCTATATTTGTGTGCCGAACAATGTCAGCAAGGTTTGCTGTAGATGCATATGATTCCAAGGACACTTGCCTGGAACAATTCAACCAGGATATCGTTTGGAATCTGCAGAATTTTGCGGTACGACACACGGTCTATACCAGGAGCACTTCTAATATTGTGTTTCCGTATGTGCAGCTTCACCTCCTCGATATCCTCGATCGTAAAAGGTCTCGAGAATGTTCGGTGTGGGGTTGTGTCTGGCGTCGAGGAGGGCAACATATCACACAGATTCTGATGCCGTTCACGCTCGTCCTTATCGAATTCCTCGGGAACAATTTGGGGGGGATTCAGTCGGCTCTCAAAGACCTCCCGCAACTCTTCCGCTGACACTTGTGCAGTGCGTTGTTTGGGGTCAGTCCAACCACGGACTAGGTTCCAGAACTCTTTATTTGAAGTAACGTTGAGCAGTGTCTGCAAGTTCTCGCGCTGCAGAGCCCGCTCGGCAGCCCTTCCTCGATGAGCAGGCGGATCGGGGTCTAGATCCGCGTCTGTGACATCCACCAATTTTCTTTTGGGCGGACTCTCCTCTGGCACCGTTGTAAACACCTTCGCATCAGCTTCGTCAACAGGCGTTGACCCCTCCACATCGCATACAGGCGCCTCGGGTAGTGCTGCGGAAGGCAAACGTGGATTGCGTGCTGCCTTTTGTGCGAGAATGTGAGCTTCGCGTGCGTGGTTGTTCACTTGTGTCTGTGTCGTTGCGCGGAATATGACTCCGGCGGAACGACTTCGAAGCAGCTCAGCCGTCACTTTAATGATATCGGCATTTTCGCATGGCCAGCCCTCGGTGTAGTTTGTTCCCGTCCAATAACAGAATGTGCGTATGACGAACAGCGATGGGGTGTAAATCACTAATGTTTGGTCTGGGGCAGCACTCAACAGCGCCAGAGTGACAGCAAACAGCGCCGCTCTTGCGTCGGATTGCTTGCCCGGAACCGAGGACATTGTATTTCGGGGATTGTTGGGGCCCCAGTACACTCCGCTTCCCGCTTTCACGTTCGGTTTCCCAGCGCAGACACATGAGGAGGCGATATAAACATGAGTCGGACTCGTCCGCACTTTCACAGGTCCGTAGTAAAATCGGTTTTGTTCCTCCGCTGTCCGAGCTGATTCCAGAGCGTCGCTAACCATGTTGTCCAGCACCGTGGGCTCTCCACTGACCCAGTCTGGCGCACGGACAGGCCGCGGTACGTCGGTGTAGTGCAGCGGTATATTGAGCTTCAACGTCGTTGCCCTATGGTCGGACCATCCCACCTTTGGTCGAACAGCAAACCCCCTCTGGCATATATTGCCCAAACCAGAATTGGACGCCCACATGTAATCAATTACGCTTACTCCCATGCCTTGAATGGAAGTAAATTGGGCGCATCCGTCCGCATCGTATGAGGACCCATTCAGTACGGACACATCGCACCTGTCCCATAGCTCGAGAAGCCGATTGCCACGAGTTGAAGATTTAGCGTCCAGCGATACTCGACGAAGAGGTGAGTTAGGTGGCGACTTCGAGGCGATACGAGCATTCAAATCCCCCCCTCCGTTGGCCGAAGATTCGTTTTCCTTGTAGTTTGCAATATTCGAGTTTCATACAGGGTTATCGATCCATTCGTGTTGAAGAATGGGTAATTCCAAGAATTTATGGTGCAAACGGTGTTATGGAACATGAATTGACCATCTACGGTCATTGCAGAGATGCGGAAAGCTCGGAATACAGTTGGATCGTGTCTGCTCACGCGAGGTCAATCGATCGAAAGCGTGCCATCCCCTGTTTAAGATTCAAGACTTTTTGTCGGGCCGGGTCGTAAGACAGATTTACGAATCATCCCAGTGGGGTGCAGGAGGCCGCAGGGGGCGGCAATTCCGATAATCTTTCGCAAGTTCCGTTTATTGACACTTCACGGCTTCAGAGATCGAGAAATCGAGCTGGGATTAATATCCTATCCTATCCTACCCAAGTTCAGGCAAATTTTGAAACCTTGCACGCGGGGTGAAGCCGCTTAGTGAGACTGTGGAGGACACGCGATTGAGCTTGAAGGATCTGAGCTGTCAATCGATCGGAAACTTGAACCCCCTGTCTTGCCCCCTAATGTTCCGCGGCGGCTAAATCAGTCTGGTCGTTTCGCTGCATTCAAGTAAAAAACAAAGCCGAATTGTTTGGTATAGAGCAAGGTAGAGAGAATTCCAGGCATGAGCTGTTAGTGCTTTGAATTTACTGGAGGTCCAACGGAGCTCTGAGAGGACGCAGAGCATGTGTGAGGGATATATATGCGAGCATCGGACGCACAGCTATGATTTGTAGGAAAAAAACAGATCAGAATCTAGTAGATTCAGGCTCGGAGATTCATTGTCGAGGGGTAGCTGCGGACTGGTTGTAGAGAGATGAAGCGAGTTAGACGTCTGAAGACCGACTCTGAGGACCGGGTAAGTAGAGTCCTGTCGCGTTTGAAGCCTTTGATTCCAGGTCTTATACTCGAGTGGTGTCTCAGTAGCGTCGGAGTCTCAGTTTTTTGTGTGTAAGTTCAGTGTTGGTTTGGTGTTGGTTGGTTCTTGGCAAGGCACTGTTTACTAGTGCTATGATCGGGGGTTAATGACATCAAGGTAGTGTCGGGACCGGTTGCACCGGTTGCTTTATGCCGCGAACC